AAAAATCTAATCTTTTTTAAAAATCCAGTCAATTTTAATTTTTAAAATACATAATAAATCAATAAAATTTGTTTGGGATTTTAAAATTTTCACAACTATTTACACTATTATATGAAGTTTACAAGTCATTTAGGATGAACACTTTAGAAATTGTCACAATTATTTTTATTTTTTATTTTAAATTATCGTTATGTAATTACTGATGTCAAGTATGTCAATAAATAGTTATTGTTAAAACGTCACTTTTGTAGAACATATATATATATTTAAAATTTGAATTTATGAAGAAAAAAGAAAATACAAATCCGACATACGATCTTTAGGCTATCTTAGCTTTCGATGGCATTTTAACAACACTTTGGCCACCAAATCCGACATCCGCCTCTGGCTATTGCCAACAACTCACCAACTTGAGGATCACTTATACAGTTGCACACACCCTTCACATCTCTAGCAAATTCTCAAAAACACCCATGAGTTAAAAAAAATCAATTCAATTCAATTTCAAATTTCAGTACAATACTACAAATTACAACAACAACAATTGCATGGGTTTCACAACCATTTGTTTACCCAGCAAGAAAAATAAAACAAAACTATACTAGTTTTTCTCTTTGAGTTAAAATATAGTCATTTATATTATCTCCAATTTGGAGATCTTTCACCAAACTAAAACCTCTTCTAACGACCCAAGAAAATCAAAAGAACTTTTATCACTCTTCTAACTATTATTCTTCTTTGAAGCCACGCCGAACCTGACCATGACATCAGGAAAAGCCGGTGGTGCACGACCAACGTGGCCGGAAAAGTTGATTTCATTCTCAGCCAATGTGCACCGGCCATGTCCACCGGGGATGTAGGTGCAGGGGTTGGAACCGGATGGTGGCACAGGCCCTCTCTTAATGGACTGAATGACTAGGCCCTTATTGCTCAACCATTGCTCTCCTTCTAATTGCCTCAGTCCAAGAATTTCTCGAGAACCAAACAGGAAGAGTGTGAAGAAAATGAAGATGGTTTTATTACTTGTATGAAAAACCATGTTTGTAGTGAATTGTGATATGAAATGAATGGCGTTTTTTTTTATAAATGTAATAAGTTGGAACATGCAATGCAAATTAAGATGGGTTATGAATAAGAATGAAGTTGGGAAGAGGGTTTGATGAGTTTGTAATGAGATTGAAGATGGATCATATATCATATATATATATATATCGAACTAGATTTGGTTTGGTAGGTAGTGAATGGTGACAGTTGACTAGGGAACCGCGGGTTTTGAAAATTGACAAGAGAAAAGAGATGGATGGGCTTAAACAATATACACGGACTTTGAATATAAACCACCAAAATTGTTTTTCAAATATACTAATCATGTTTCCAATACATCTAAGTGGAATAAGTCTTACACTAATGTATCATACTCAACTTTTAAGGTTTTTTTATTTTTTTTTATTTTTTATCTTTTATTTTATTTTTTTAAAGCTAGTTGCATATAATTAGAATACAAAAAAGTGCATATTACACATAGGGAGATTTATGTGCAGGTGATACTATGTGAATTTATTGTTTAATAGTTAATGATATTTTTCATCAAACATTATTAAAAAAAGTTACTAATTGTTAATTTTTAGCGATAATTTGAAAATTTTGCTATAAAAAATGTTACTAATTATAAGTTTTAGCGATAGTTTAAAAAAATAATCATAAAAAAGTCACCTAATTTTTAACTTTTAGCAACAGTTTGAAAAATTTGCAATAGAAAAGTCACTAATTATAAATTTTAGCGACAATTTATAAAAATCGTGACAAAAAAAGTTACTAATTGTCAATTTTTAGTGATATATGTAAAAATTGTCAAAAAAAATTATTTTTGACGATGATTTTACTATAACTTATTTTCAATAGGACTTGACTGGAATTAAATCCAAATATTAAGACTTATTAATAATTTACTCCTTTTTAAAAAAAAAATATTTTATGATTGAAAACTTAGCCTAGGTAGGGTTTTTAGACTCAAGGGTGAGAGACGACCTTTCAAGCCGATGAACCGGACAAACAGGTGATGATGAGTTAAACCTCAAGCCCTGTTTGTTTTGGGAGATAGAATGGAAGGAATCGATAGTGAGGGGATTAATAGTGAGGGGATTGTTAGTGAGGGGATTAATAGTGAGGGATTGATAGTGAGGAGATTAATAGTAAGGAATTATTAAATTATTTTTATATAAAATAATAAAACAAATAAAAAAAATAAACATTATATTTAAAAAAAATTCCCAATATATAAAAAATAAAAAAAATAAGATGGTGGCACAGGCCCTCTCTTAATGGACTGAATGACTAGGCCCTTATTGCTCAACCATTGCTCTCCTTCTAATTGCCTCAGTCCAAGAATTTCTCGAGAACCAAACAGGAAGAGTGTGAAGAAAATGAAGATGGTTTTATTACTTGTATGAAAAACCATGTTTGTAGTGAATTGTGATATGAAATGAATGGCGTTTTTTTTTTAAATGTAATAAGTTGGAACATGCAATGCAAATTAAGATGGGTTATGAATAAGAATGAAGTTGGGAAGAGGGTTTGATGAGTTTGTAATGAGATTGAAGATGGATCATATATCATATATATATATATATCGAACTAGATTTGGTTTGGTAGGTAGTGAATGGTGGCAGTTGACTAGGGAACCGCGGGTTTTGAAAATTGACAAGAGAAAAGAGATGGATGGGCTTAAACAATATACACGGACTTTGAATATAAACCACCAAAATTGTTTTTCAAATATACTAATCATGTTTCCAATACATCTAAGTGGAATAAGTCTTACACTAATGTATCATACTCAACTTTTAAGGTTTTTTTATTTTTTTTTATTTTTTATCTTTTATTTTATTTTTTTAAAGCTAGTTGCATATAATTAGAATACAAAAAAGTGCATATTACACATAGGGAGATTTATGTGCAGGTGATACTATGTGAATTTATTGTTTAATAGTTAATGATATTTTTCATCAAACATTATTAAAAAAAGTTACTAATTGTTAATTTTTAGCGATAATTTGAAAATTTTGCTATAAAAAATGTTACTAATTATAAGTTTTAGCGATAGTTTAAAAAAATAATCATAAAAAAGTCACCTAATTTTTAACTTTTAGCAACAGTTTGAAAAATTTGTCATAGAAAAGTCACTAATTGTAAATTTTAGCAACAATTTATAAAAATCGTGACAAAAAAAGTTACTAAAATTGTCAATTTTTAGTGACATATGTAAAAATTGTCAAAAAAATTTATTTTTGACGATGATTTTACTATAACTTATTTTCAATAGAACTTGACGGGAATTAAACCCAACTATTAAGACTTATTAATAATTTACACGTTTAAAAAAAAAAAAAATTTATGATTGAAAACTTAGCCGAGGTAGGGTTTTTAGACTCAAGGGTGAGAGACGACCTTTCAAGCCGATGAACCGGACAAACAAGTGATGATGAGTTAAACCTCAAGGCCCTGTTTGTTTTGGGAGATAGAATGGAGGGGATTGATAGTGAGGGGATTAATAGTGAGGGGATTAATAATGAGGGGATTAATAATGAGGGGATTGTTAGTGAGGGGATTGATAGTAAAGAATTGTTAAATTATTTTTATATAAAATAATAAAACAAATAAAAAAATAAACATTATATTTAAAAAAAAATTCCCAATATATAAAAAATAAAAAAATTTCTAATCTCCTCACTATTTTTCTAATATCATCTCTACCTCCTCCTTACCAATCCCCCTTTCTCCTCCTTACCAATACTAAGGGATTATTAGCCCCCTTCCTATCTCTCAAAACAAACACTCCATTTTCAATCCCCTCCTCACTATCAAACCCAATTCCCACCCCATAACCCCAAACAAATGGGGCTCAAAGTTCTTGGGTATGACTTGCAATTGACCGTCCGAACTAGCCTAAGATGCTCATCTTCCGTTCTAAATTTTTTGATTTTAGGCTCCTATTCTAAATTTTTTGATTTTAGGCTCCTTTTCAAATTATAGGCACTTTTTATTTTTATTTCTGTTATACTCTTTCATAATACAATAACAAATTTTTTTTTGTTTTTTGGGGGGATGAAATTGAGAAGGTTGATTTGGTCAAATCTTCCATTTTGGGGCTTGAAGCTAGTTTTGAGAATTGGAAGCAAATCGTGTACGGTGTGGAACCAAGTTTGATCGTGGGTCGGACATGGTCAGCTAGTCTAAAGTCATATCACTCGGATCACGAGAATAATGTTTTATCAACCTCATCAACCATTTCAGCTTCTCACCATCAAACTTCATAATATCAAGTATTACAGGTCATGGACGGTGTAAAACATCCAGCATATAAAATTAGATTAATATAATAATTATATTCACGTAATTTAATTACATTTATTTTGTTTTTTAAAAAAAGAATGCATTTTCAAAATATATTTGTCACATTTTTTTAAACACAAATGTGATAAGATAATGTGACGATAATTATATAATTAATCTGATTTTTAATAAATGATTTACAGGATAATGGAGACTGATATTATACATACCACACAAGGGAAATGAATGTACTTTGATAATAATAAAATAAAATACGTCGAAATAATAACAATAAAAAAAAAATTCACTCTGCTCATTTTTTCAGCTTCCCCTGCTAAAAAACAGTCAGTGTGTGCATCATCCGGGAGCTTCAATTTGCACACACTATACACTTTTTGTACATCTTCCTCACTACACTTTTTGCACATCCTCTTCATTAAGTGTGTGTGTAGAGTGGGTTTGGTGTGTGTAAATAGAAGCTCCCGCATCATCCTTCAACAAACTTAAAGTAATGTAGAAAATTACGAAACCACCCTTTCACAAAAATATAAGTCCTTTTGTTGTCTAGTTTCATGTTGAGCTGTTTTTTTTTTAGATGGAAGCATCAAGAAGAATTAAGAAACACTAAACAACGAGAGAAGAGAAGAAAAGAAAAGAAAATGCAATGATCAACTGAAAAACACAACCATTTTCATTGACCAAGTGTTACTGGTCAAGAAACAGGATCTTGATAATCATATATTCATCAATGTAGTAGTTTCAATACACTACCTTCTTTTCGATGAAACTATCAAGCTTAACTTTTGAAATTGGCACAGGCACTTGCCCCCCCTTGTGGGCTTTTGCAACTTTGTAATCTCTGATCTACGATGCCCCCTTTTGATAGGGGTTTTTGTTTTTGTAGAATCATCTCAATGTCTCTTGTTGATAAACACCCTTTTGTATTTGGTGAAAAATTCCTTCCAAACTCAATTTAATTGTGAGAGGAAAGAGATCCGTGAAAAGAGGCTAACATGAACCCTAAACTTTTCATTAGTCTAAGGATTTAAATATGTTTCCCAACCGTCCTTTTCTAGCTTCTCTGCCTTCACCAGGACATCATTTTTGGTGTCCTCTAGGTACTGGGACATTCTGCACAAACAAGAAGCATCATCGCAAATGGATGGAAACCCCATTCCAGTATTTTTCTCACCAAGGAAACTTGAATGCATACTTACTTTCCCTATCAATTCCTTAGAAATAAATAGGGTGACCAAAACTGAAAGAGGGAATTTCTTATCCAACAGCCTTGCAACAATTATTTAAAAAAAGAGAAAGTGTAAATGTTTGTGGATGAGGAGAGAGAGAGAAAGCCCAACCTTGCCTGTAGGTCAGCATCCCCAACCCCTAACATCCTTACTGCCAGCAAGCCTGCATTGGTTGCATTATTTATTGCGACTGTTGCAACAGGGACTCCCCTTGGCATCTGCATATTGAAACAAAAACTGCTCTTGGAAAGAGTTTCATTTTTATTTTTATATTTATTTTATATTTAACAATCTTACATGGTCATTGAAATGACAAACCTAGATGTGGAATTTGGAGAAGATAATACGGCCAATATATAAGACATAGATGGGATTGCGTAACTTCATGTGAATGAGAATAAAGATATATATATTTTTTTGAGCAACAACAAAATTTTATTAAAACAGGAAAGTGAAAGAGGACAAGAAGTCTTCATCAAAGAAAGAGAAAGCGAGAGAAAAATGAGAATAAAGATATGAATCTCGAAAAAGAATACAAGTACCACATTTTGTATGTCACATTCGGCAGAATCATCAAATGTGGTTATATACATATAAATATATAAATATATAAATTAAGGGTATGACATAACTGGCAACCATTCAAAGGTTCCACTTTCAGGGAAGTTTAGTATATTAGATAAGAATACAATCTACGTGATGATGCCTCCCATCTAAAAGAATAAAATTGTCTTAGCTTTAGCCCCCCATTTCAAGAAATGGCCTATGATAGGGCAAACTCATGACATGCTTCCAAGTTCCAACATCACATTACACAATATACTCAGGAAAAGTTTGGGAAATCTATACCTGCACGATTGATAGGAGTGAATCAAGTCCATCCAGTGATGAGGCGCGTACAGGAACACCAATAACAGGCAAGGGGGTCAATGCAGCTACCATGCCTAAACGAGAAGGAGCATATTAATGCTCATCTGTCATTTCATGAATATTATTAAATGAGCATGTATTTACAAATACTAACCTGGCAAGTGCGCAGCACCACCAGCACCGGCAATGATAATCTGAATCCCCCGCTCCCTAGCAGACAAGGCATAAGAAAACATGGTTTCAGGGGTCCGGTGTGCTGACACTATTCTCACCTGCACAACTTAAAAGCATCAATACAATTGCTAGCTACATGAAATATGTTTAAATTTGGTAAATGAACACTGAAGTATTCGCAAATGTGACCTCATGAGACATGCCAAACATATTCAAAATCTTTGCAGCATCCTTCATAACAGGAAGATCTGAATCAGAACCCATAATGATCCCAACACGTGGTATGACTGTCAAGCAAAAAATGCAGAACAACATGAATCCAAGTTCATGTATCAGAACTGATTAAAGGCGTTATATGAAATAAGAAAAAAGACAACCTTCATGCATTTGTAACTAGTGGCAGAACAAATTTATTAAAAAAAAGAAAATTTAAATTGCCACTGGTTATCTTTATGTGTTTCTAAAAAAAAGTGTCAAACAACATGCAGCTGCTCCTAATCTGACTCCACTCCACTGTCAAATTAAAATTGAATCAGACTGCTCAAAAACTATGTCTACACAACTGACCTGCAGTCTGACCATCCGAAATTTCTTCATTAAGCATTGATTTTAGCTCCGTTTCCACAATGCCCATAGAAGGGCCAACTATAGTTATATGACCCATCTTTCGCTGCTTTCGCATTTCTGCTAGAAGAATGCAAGGCAAGTATTGGGAGAAAAGAAGAACAAGCAAAACATGATAAACATGAACCTTAACAATTTTATATAATCGAACCTGGCTTATCATACCAATGAACACTTGCCCCTGAAATACCTAATGCCCGTCCAATCAGTTGATGAGCCAGAAGGAAACCTTGTTCTCCCTGGATGCATAATAACAGAGAACATATCAAATCTGATTAGTTGCTACATCCTCTAGAAGCACTAAAATATAAACAGAAAAGATGTCAATGGATGCTTGATAGTCTATAATGTGAAATATTATTATTTTTTATTTTAAAATAAAAAAATAAATAATTGAGATAAACCAGAAAACAAACATGAGAAAGTTATGTGAAAAAATAGAAGCAGGAGATAGCACAATATATGACTAACATACATCTTTTGAAACAAAACATACATCATTTGATAAAAACGCTTGATGTTTAAAGCACCACATCATGTCATTTCTAGACACTATCACACATATTCTTTCTAGCCTTTCTCTTGTCCTTGTATTTCTTTTAGTTTTAAACCATATGACTTTTGAGAAGTTAAAATTCTCCATTGATATCTCGAAAGACTCCTGTGATCTCAAATTATAGTTAACTTCACACAGTGACATTCATAATATTCTTTATTTCCCCCTCATTTATTGAATGTTTAAACACTCACCATATACATGATATTCTGTTATATTTTTATTTAGCAGTTCATACAATTCTGTGCTTAATCGCAGTGCCATGGATTTGGCACACTAAATTTTTATTGATCTTGGCCATATAATAAAGCCATCATCCACCTATAATCTAATTGTTAGTTACAAATCAGCTCTGAAAATTATTTCTAATAACGATTATACACGAAAACTATAGAAAACAAAGTCTTTCACCTCATCTTCACCCAGTATATTGTACATAATAGCAGCTGGAGTTTTCATTGATGGATCACCTAGTGGAAGACCAACAACTGCTCGCAAATGCTGCTCAAATTGTGAAGTGAAACAAGATTCAATTGTATGATGCCCACTATTGTGAGGTCTAGGAGCTACTTCATTTAGCAAAATCTGTGCAAGTGAATACAAGAAGATGAAAAATTAACATCAATAAATTTTTTTGAAACCAATAATGGATTTCACAAGATCAACACAAACAACGGAAATGTGATTACACAACCTGACCATCCCCTGTCAAAAACAACTCCACTGCAAAAATACCAGCACCCTCTAATGAACTAACAGCTTTATAAGCAACATCAGTAGCAAGTTTCCTGATCTTCCATGGCACATTAGCAGGTGCCTTAACGATGTGACAAATGCTTTCTCTATCAAAATAAGGATCCACAGATAAATAGATTATATTCAATGATAAGGGAAGTCATGAAGAAATATAAACATTAACATGATGATGTCATCAGAATTTGAAATAAAAGAAAAAGGAAATTGCAACAAAAAGCTATACAAACTACTAAAGCCAACATCTTACCTGTGGATAGTTTCAACAACAGGATAACATAGGATAGAATTATCTTGTCCTCTAGCTACAATGACTGCTAGCTCCTAAAAAGGAAATAAAATTTTCAGTGATTCTTCAGCCTTGAAATCTGTATCTTAAATGAACAAGAAATGAAAAAAGAGAGCAGCATATTGCATTAAATTAAAGGCACATAGTCAAAGTAAACCTTTACAAATGGAGCCCATTTCTCAACATATAATGCACGATCATAGCCTCCAAGGACTGCAAAGAGAATGGCCTTGAAAATTAGAGAAGCTAGAAGCAATTTATCTAAGAAAACAGTTAATAAAGGTGAATTTATTTTCCCAGATTAATTGCAGCATATTAGATTGAAGTTAAAGGAAGGCTCTATGAAACAGCACAAAAGCAACAATAATTTATGAAACATGATGGTGAAGCAACATATGCAATGGCAATTTTTTAACAAACACAAGTATTGACTAGGTAATAAAAGATTTAAATATTTGACGATGACCACCGGGGCAGACTGTGATGGGTTTTGAAGACTAGCTTGTTATGAAGCATATGTTGATGGTGATCACTTAATATTTTCTATACGAACATAGTTGCATTGACTAAATCCCTTAAAATGTTTATGTATGAGCTAAAGAAGACTTCCCCAATACTAAAAAATATTAATGCTTACAAATTTAGATGGTGTACTCATAAAAAGAGAGAAAAAAACCAGATGGTGACAAATTTGATTAATGAAAGCAATTGCATGGTATACGGCTCATTGGAAAAAATCTACTAATTATTATGATTCACTGGTTCAAGTAATTTATAGTAATGAACATCTTACCATTTACTGCTGAAGAGATCTCCTCTTCACTCTTAGCAACAGCGTTTCCACGCCCATCATAAGCAAGCCTCCTGCTCTTTATCATTAGAGGATAGCCAAATAGTTCACCAGCTCTCTTTGCGCTTTCAAAATCATCTACCTGTCTATGCCATATTTTTAATATTCCTTAATAATAAAAAAAAAACAAGGATATCCTAAACTAACATTTTCAAGGACAAAGAAAAGTGTGAATTGGTAACTAAAACCTTGTGCCAAATTCTTAAAAGTTGTAGCTAACCTGCATAAAATCAGGAAGTGGAATGCCATGACGCGAAAAATGAACTTTCTGGAGAAATTTATCCTGAAAAAAGGTAAAATATAGTCCAAAAATACAAACTTCATCACAAAAACAGAGTTGATAATTGTTTGAATAAAAAACATTCAAACTACCTATCTGTCTGTTTCATTACAAGAAATATAAAAATGAAATACCTTAATAAAGATAATTGTATTTAACTTAGATTAATTTATCACTACCAAAATTTTCACAACAAAATATCTATGGATTACCAAATTAGTAGATCAAAAAGTCCACATAGTTAGCAAAAAGGGGTAAACAACTTACAAACAAATAAGAGTAACTACAAGAATAGATTCAAAAGATTAACCAAAACCTCGAAATAGAAAAAAGAAAAAGGCAATTTGTTCACAAATGCAAAATTATATTCTGCACAATGGCATCCAAAATTCGACCCAGACCTGTATAATTCGGATAGTAGAGGCTTTGGGTTGACAATCCACCCCTTGTTGTTCTAACTTCTCTAATGTCACCACATCAACATGCTCAATTTCAACAGTTAACACTCCACACCTACCCACCCAAAAAATTAAAATCAGCTTGTAAAAATCAATCAATCAACAGTAGAATAAAAAATAGATAAAACACAAAATCCCAATAAAATCTCCAACCTTTTGGCAAATTCTTGGACCGTGGCACTATCATCATAACTCCCCACCATATGATAATGTGAGAGTGAACTTGCAGGGCAATTCTCCATCGGGTCCAATACAATCACCTTAATTGCCAATTGAGACGCAGCTTGACATAGCATTCGACCCAATTGGCCTCCTCCCAATACACCCACAATCGTCTCCGAAACCCCATGTACAGGCAAATCATCATTCCTACACACAAATCATTCATATGTATATATATACATACTAAAGTTCCAAAATTGAATTCGTATATATGTATATATGTATGTATAGATAGATGTCATTGAGAAGTGATAGGAGGAACCTGTGAGAAGTGTGAGGAGGTTGGAGGGAGGTTCGAGAAGGAGTGTGGTGGTGCTTGAGGAGCATCAGAGAAGAGGAAGATGAAGTGGTGGTGGTGGTGCGACTGATGGGAAACCCTAGAGTGAAGGGTCGTTGGAAAGGGAGAGAGGAATCGATGTGGTGGTTGGAAAGCGTTGCTGAGGGAGATGGAGAGTGGCTCAGCTTAAGCATTCTTCACTCTGCGCCTCCGACACGGCGGCGACACTCCCTCTATGCGAAAAGACACGGCGGCTATACTCTCGTTAAATCAAAAGACTCGTCCTACCTACCACTCTCAAAGGTTTTTCAGAACCGGAGGTTTTTGGTTTATCACATAAGGAAGGAACTTAAAATGAGAAGTCTTCTATTTGACATTATTTACATAAATATATATATATTTTTTATTTTTTACAAAAAAATATATGTAAAAAAATAGAAAAGTAGTGTGATTCAAATAATATACTTATTGCATGTCAAATAAACCCTAAATTTATTATTATATTTAAAATATTTTATGTTATTATATTTAAAATATTTATACTTTTTGCTTTCATCAAGATTGCAATGAGATGGGTTTATAAAGCCCCACTATCGCTCCATATTTATATCGAAAGTGTGGAATAATAATTTCATTTTATTTAACAAAAATAAATAAATAATGTACATTGAAAATAATTCAAAATTTTAAAACTTTTAGAGTATCTCTAACGGTTCACCAAAAATTTTATTAAATTTGAATAAAAAAAAAAGACGAATTCCTCAATCTGATATTAGCCACGCCAACGGTGATTATCAAAACACACTAGACGTCCGGGGGACGATCAATCGGTCGACCGAAAAGAAAAAAATGAAATTTTTTCCCACACTCAGAAACATCACCTGCTCTGCAATTACTATGAAAAACACACTGGACGTCTCTTGCTCTCTCTATCTTCACAATTCACAATTTACTCTACAATAGCTATGAAAAACTCGAAAAGCCACCTCAATTTGTCCATTTATTAATCTGGGTTTGTCTTCGGACACAACCAATGTTCCTGGTTCAGTGACTATTTTTTGTTCATGGGTTATGTTGAAACTTAACCAATGGTTCATGAGTTGCGTTTACAAATCACAATTTGTGCTTTGAATTGTTGTGAAAACCAGAAGACCCACCTCAATTGACCTATTTCCTAATCTGGGTTTGTGTTGAAACTTAAATTCAACCAATGTTTCTAGGTCAGTAATTCAGTGACCAATTTTTCTTCATTTGTTGAAGGAGCAAAATCTATACATTTTTATAACGTCGAAATGGATGCTCTGCAAGAGGCTTCAAAGAAGGTTGCTACTACAAAGAAGCAAAGGTCTGGAGCAACACAAGGCAGCACTCTAGCCAATGGAGCCAATCAAGAAATGCATACAGATGAAGAAAATCAAACAAGGCCATATCAACCTGCTGTTAATAGAATGCAAACTAATTTAAGTGATTTACATATTTGGTTAAAGAGCTGGTCGACTTCTCAGTGTAAAATTTTCACAGAATTTTGCTTGAGGGGGTCATCTAGGAGGACATCTGGCTGGATGTCTGGTCGGTTGTCTGGTGGGACCCATCTCCAACATAAACACATAGTAAAATGGTAAAATCAGACTCAGCTTCTCAGTTTGGTGAAAGTTTTGCCCCATTCTTAATTTGATATCAGTTTGGTGAAACTGTTAGAGAGAGAAAAGTCGTCATTTTTCATCAAATTTAAATCTGGTGATCAATCTGATGAACTGTTGGAGATGATCTCAATTTAAAGAGTGTTTGGGTTCATTTAAATAACATCTCGTTTAGGATTAAATATTTTACTTAAAAAAAATTTAAAAGTCATTATAAATTATTATATTATTATTTTTTTATTATTTTAGGTATATTTTTATAAAAATTTATTAAAATAATTTATTTTAAAATGAGGTTTATTTTTTAACTTTTTATAAAAAAAAATAAAAAGATGATATAACTAAAAAAAGATTAAAAAAAATGTGTTAAAATAGCAGGACTCTAATATAAATGATAAATACAAATATATAAAATTTTAAAGGAGAAATTATGAAAAAAAAAACCTCAAAATTTTGAGTATTATAACAAAATAAGTTCTGAATTTTTAATTTCATCAATTTAAGTTTTAAAATTTTAAATTATTTTCAATTTACATTATTTATTTATTTTTGTTAAATAAACTGAAATTATTGTTCCACACTTTCGATATAAATATGGAGTGATAGTGGGGCTTTATAAACCCGTCTTATTGCAATCCTAATGGAATACAAAAAATATAAATATTTTAAATATAATAACATATTATATTTTCATCAATTAAATTTAGGGTCTATTTGACATGCACTTACTTTGGTTCTTGTGGTTTCAATTTAAACAATTTGAACCTTACACTTTTAGTTTTATCGCAATGTGGTCCTTCCATCATTTATTGTTAGAATTTTGAATGGAAAAAGATTACGTTCAAAATTAAAGGGACCAAAGCGGTATTCAAAAGAAACTATAGGGACCTCCGGTGTAATTTATTCACATTATGTCTTGTTTATTTTCAGAGATAGAATGGAGAAGATTGATAGTGAGGAGATTATTAGTAAGGAGATTGATAGTGAGGGGATTGATAGTGAGAAATTGTTAAATTATTTTTATATAAAATAATAAAACAAATAAAAAAATATAAAAATTAAACATTAATATTTAAAAAAAAATTCTTAATATATAAAAAATAAAAAAATTTCTAATTCCTTCACTATTTTTCTAATACTATCTCTACCTTCTCACTATGAATTTCTCTTCCAAGAATATTAATAATACTAAAATATTAATAGTCCCAAGACTATCACTCAAAATAAACAAGATATTAATAATATTAAGATATTAATAATTTCAATTCCCATCCTACAATCCCAAACAAACGGGCTTGAGGACAAAACGCCGCTACAAAATCACAAACTTCCAAAAATTTAAACACATGAGCTGGAATGAGCTGGAAGGCACGTGTATGAGTGGACAATTACCAAACTACCCCATATACACCGTTGTTCACATATCTGTGTATTTGCTAGGGTTCCGTTATCTTAAACAAACCAGGCAGACGGCGACGAAGAAGAACTAGAGAGGGGGATAAGACTACACAACATTCGACGACCGATCCACGCCAACATCGCTTCTTCAATGCCTAAACCATCCTTTACGCGTAACATTTGCATCTTTGGTACGCATAACTCGATTTGTTTTGGGGTTTTCCTCTCCTTGCACGAGAGCTCACTTGTTTCTTGTGTGTATGTTCAAAATCCGTCGTTGTTGTGTTCGATCAGTGCGAAAATGCTTTTGTTGGTGTTAATGGAGGTTTAAACCCGAATGTCTCTGTACAAATTATGTGATTTGTGGTTATGGGAACGTGTGGAATTTTTATTGTATTCACACTTTCGTTTTTCTTCACCGTGAACTCAACGGAGAACATCAATTGGCACAAATACTATTTTTTTTCTTTTTTTTTTTGTCCTTTTTTTTTTTTTGTGTAATCTGTTACACATTTTTTTTTTAACTCACTGCAAATGGTTGCTTCCACATTTATGAACTAGTTTCATATTTTTTGTATTCACACTCGTTTTGATGAACTGAACAGAGCAATTGCAATTTTTTTTTTGCTCTTAAATGTGTTAGGATTTATGAACTGAACAGAGCAATTGAACTTTTTGTAAATGCGTTAGCATGTTTAATTTTTAATTTTTTTCTCTTATATGTGTTAGCATTTTGAACTGCACAGAGCAATTGAACTATTTTTTATTACCATTTTGTAAAATAGAGAAGCAATATATGAACCAATATTGACTGTAATTGTTTGTTCCATGTGCCTAATCCAGCAGAAACAGAACAGAGCATTTGAACTTTTTAAGTTTTTTTTTTTTTTATTATTATTATTTAAATTTTTGTCTTTTAAATTTTTTACAATTTTTTTCCAATTTTCCTTTTCTTTTTTTTTTTTTTTTTCTTTTTTTGTGATTTCGAAGTTTTTGTTGTTTTGTGCTCCTTCACCAGCCTTTAGTTCAGAAGAAAAAAGAAAAAGAAAAAGAAAAAGAAAAAGTTCTTTAAGCTTCATAGCATTTGGAATAAAAATTGTGTGACTACAAAATAGAATAACTGCTTTCATTCCTAGAACCTCATTAATCAACTGGAACTAGGAATAGAAGCAACTATGGAACTTGTCAAAATTAATTGTTGCTTAGCTGGAACTGTGGATTTTTTGTTTGTATAATTGTCTCAAGGAAAAAGAATGCGAATTGTGAAGAAGGCAAACACAAAATCTGTTAGTGAGTGTGAGAGAAAATGGATCAAACATCTATACACAGGATAAAATGGATAGAGGTCCACTTAGATGCTATTGATAATCAATGTCCAATCTCTTTTGTTGAGTGTCACAGCACGTAGGTTTCCTAGTGTACCTGACATATTTTTATGACTTGTCAGTGTCTTGAGTTGCTTAAGTTCAAGATGAAGTCAAATCCTATGTGTATGCGTGTGTATATGCATTTGTAGGTATGTATTAATGTATTTTGATATTAAAACAGTAATGCTAAAGCTATTAGTTACTTTAAGGTTATGTTTGATTCACAAAACTAATAGTGAAATATTAATAATCTTATTAAATTAGTGTGGTATTCACCATCCAATTGCATTGATATCCATTGAATTAATAATCTCATCCCTACCCCATTACTAATAATCCTACAAATTTATTGGATTAATTATCCATTGGATTAATAATCCTAAACCAAAATGTTAAAACAAATATAGGATAATTGGACATACGGATTAATAATCTCAATTCCATGCTCCAATCCACCCAATCAAACATGTCCTAAGTGTAGAGGGTTTATGCTAAGATCTCCACATATTCCATCCATGTTTCTGAATAAGAGTCTTACTAACATGTTTATAACAGATCCTGTAGTACACAACCATCTCATTACCACACATATGGTATATGACAAACACACAAGCATGGCTGACACCTTGTCTTCTTCTTCTATTCATCTATGGTACAAAATAAAGCAGGTCTTCTTTTATGTCAATTGACACACCTACTGCATGGCCACATCTTACGTGTGCCTATGGCCACGGTCAATGTCTTGTCAAGATTTCCAGTGTAACGCCCTCAAAATAAAATATAAATCATGCATTCATGACATCCATAAACTTAAGAAAATAAAGTACATTCCCATTCATCATAGTATTCTTACAAGAGATATTACATGTTGACAACAAAAGTAAGTGCCTTATAGGCTTACAACTTTCCAAGTCAACACTTAGGTTCAACAAAAGTAGAGTACTAACTCTTTACACAAAATAAGCTTTTGGCTTGATATACATGTAATACATAATCACAAAAGATAAGCCTTCAGCTTTTACAACCTCCCAAGCTAAGACCTTGGAGGCGACATATCACTTGCACCTGAAAATAATGTCCCATAAAGGGTGAGTCAACGCCTAGTAGAGATATGCTAAACATAATATGAGCAATAACTAAAACATTAGCATTTGATAAATGTTTAACTCATATAAACCAACAAACAACACGGTCCAAATCCAAGACAAATATGTCCATGATCAGTTCAACTTTCTTTATTTATCAAATTTCAATTTATGAACATGGCTCAGAACCTGGCCAAACAGCTCCCATGAGACTGCAGCTCATGTTAAAACCTTTCCAATATCAACAATTTAAATGAGATTATAACTCATATAAAAAACACTTCCAAACTTCATAATTCACGTGAGATAACAACTCACATAAAAAACACTTCCATACTTCAATAAGTACACATATTTGTTGTACTAATGTCATATTAAAACACTTCCATACTTCACAATAGATACGCATATTTGCTCTACTAATGTCATATTAAAACACTTCCATACTTCACAATAGATACACATATTTGCTGTATCGGAGTCCATCACCTATCTCCTCCCAAGTAATATCCGGTTTAGGAGTCCATCCCCTATCTCCTCCCAAACCGTGGAGTACATCCTCTATCTCCTCCCACACAATACAATATATATAAACACTTATCATATACAATGATCAATCAATACACATATTCGATGTATTATTCCAACCATCATATTCAATGACATATTCAACGTGATTAGTTTCAGTTTTCCCTAATCAACATACAGTGTCTATAACAATCAAGACTATCCTCCACCGATAGCCCAAATCAATTATTTCTAAACAGATAATAAATGCATCAACAGATAAATTATCAATATTTTCAAAGGTGAGTAATTAACTTATCCAACTTCACCATTCATTCTCATAACTCCTCAATTTCATTATCTCATAATTAATTTTATTAATTATATAAATGACCCAAATAAACCTAATTAGGGTATTCTCCAATTTTTCTCAAAATTGACTCAAGGGTCCAAATACCTCTAATAAACATCCATAACTTCATTTTAAAACCCACATATACAAGTTTATTTCAAAGGAAAACAAAACCCCTCTTTATATATTTCAAAACTCAAACCCTAACTTCCCAAATCAAACGATTTATACAAAATGCTCAACATTTATGTCAAAGATCATAAAAATGAGTAGTTATCCCTACCTCAAATGGAGAGACCAAATGGAGAAGATGAAGAATTTCGAAGGTGCTCCAAATCCAATAATTTTCGGATCAAAATGAAGAGCACGCCAAACTCCACACTTTATACAAAGGGACCAAGGTAGAAGATCACTTGATCTAGATGATTTCTTGGAGAGAAGTTGAAGTCTAGAGATAGAAGCTCTCTAATGGAGGTTTTGAAAAGTTAGAGAGAGAGAAGGAGCCGAAAAAGTGATCCAAAAAGCTGAATTATGGACTGATATTCAAACAGGTCCGCTCGAGCGTGGAACTCCCCGCTCGAGCGTCAGACACAGACTCACGCTCGAGCATTAAAAGCGCGGCTCGAGCGCCGGATGCACAATTCTAGAAGTTTTGCAGTTGATGGTCCCCGCTCGAGCGTGAAAGTGGACGCTCGAGCGTCCGATGACCTGCAGAACAAAATACTGCTCGAGCGTCAAAATGCCCGCTCGAGCGTCAAAAGCCTCACTTGAGCGTGAAGGCCAAAATCTGGGCATCAACTTTTGGTTTCCGAACACAACCAACCTGTTCCAAATCTGCCCAACACAACTCAAGACTCAAATACAAAGAGTAAAGGATAACGAAAATAAGACAACAACACATCTACGGAACCGAATCCGGAATACAATTAAACAATGAAGGGAAAGCCGGGATCGCTATATCCAGATCTCACAAAAATCTAGGACGAGCTTACTATGCGTGTCTGAATCCTGTGGTGAGTACACCCTTTACTTTCGGTGACAAATTTCATTTCATTTAAACCAGTTAACTAATATCTTTGTACATAAATTTCGTCAGCTATGTTTAAGATAGATTAGTTGGTGTGACGAACCTAGGCGCCCGAACACAGACTCTGACTCCGCCACACACGACATTGTCATGCACTTGTGGGATGATGCAATTCACATTCAACAAACGCTGCGTCTCTTGAAAACCATTGTTTCTGTGTTGTGCATTGTCGTTGTAATCTTATTGTTGGGTATGTGAAAATGTTCCAAGTGTCTTGTACCACCTTAACGATGCTAGTATTGTAATGACTTATGTTTGTTATGGACTTGATAACAATAACTTTGCCAATGACATGTAATGGAATGGTGGTTTGGCTCTAGATAATTGTTTCTTTTCACTTTCTCTTAAATTTTTTTTGATAGAATGTCACAATCGCTGATATATTTTATTGCACCAATTCGTTTGGGTGAGTAATACGCATACATGTATAAGGTACTTATGCTTTAATTTATCAATTACATTTCCGTACGAACTTCACCACGTACCTTTTCCAAAAATAAAGGGGTTGTAAGGGCCCGGGCAATCGTTCTTGAGGACAGCCAAAATGTTCACAAAGTTGTGTGGGATTCTGAATCCACAAGGCTTTTCCTAGAGCTTATTGCTGATGAGATTCTTAAGGGCAACCAGCCATTCATGGTTTTGAGCAACGCTGTGTACAAGTCATTGGCGAAGAAATTTGAAAAAAAAAATTGGTAAAAAACATGATGTAAAGCAATTGAAGAACAAGTACACATGTATGAAACGAGATTGGACTGCGTGGATGAAGTTGATGGACCATAACAAAGGAATAACCAGAATTGGATTTGATGCAGAAACAAACATGTTTCAGGCTTCCGATGAATGATGGGATCGTATGGAACTGGTAAAGTATTTACACCATTTTCTTACCTTTTTGCATTGCTTTCATTTTTATTTGGTAACATATTTTCACTAATAGTTTTGTGTTTCTTGTGCTGCAGATAAACAAGAGTTGTGCAAAGTTTAGGAATAAAAATTTGGAGCATTGGGAGTTGATAAAGATTGTCTTCACAGGGGTTGCTGCAACTGGCAAACATCATTGGACATAGGGAGAGAAGATTGTCGAAGATAATGAGGGCTCTTCTGATTCAGTTCAAAGCCTTGATATGCAGCCATTCGCAAATCCAATCCCTTCAGTTAGTATTGACGTGGAGGTTGAGTCGTCAATGGAAGGTGTTGAACCTAGGGTTGACGCTGGGGCGAAAAGGAAAATGAATACTCCTGCAAGTTCAGGAAACTAGCGAAAGCTAACCAGTGGAGCATCTGTTATAGCTGATAGTGTGAACAATCTGACTAACGTCGTCTGGAGTCAAAACCAACAACTTATTGTCAGGCACTTAACTAATGAGTTGTTGTACACCATTTCAGAGTGCATGGAGAGGCTGAAATCCATTCCTGCCTTAGTGGGTACACCGTTGTTCCATTTTGCATCGTCTCTTATGGACAACATTGATTATAGGGATAGCAATTTGAACCCGGCTCAACGGGGTCCCAACCCTTCGACCCCGATTAGAACGGATTTTTCTTGAAAATTACTCCCTCTAGGGTTAGGGATGGTATTAAAAATTAAATCCCCGATGATTTTCGGGCTGGGAACGGGGATAGGTTCCCCAACCCCGGCCCCGGCCTGCCCCTAAATAATCTCCGAACATGGCCCATATATATATAATATATTTATAAATTTCATTTTCAGCCTCTGCCATTCATTTTCAGCCTCTCTTATTCATTGAATCCCTCATTTCTCTCTCTCTACTCCACCGTCGATCTTCTTCACTTGCCGCCAGCAATCTCCTTTCTCTTAGCGTCTCTCTCTCTCTCTCGCTACCATCGTCGTCGCACACCACCGATCCCGCCACCAACGTCGTTGCACACCATCGATCGCTATCATCCATTGCACAACACTCCTTCTACCACAGCACCACTGATCGCCATCCTTATTCGCTTCTGTGTTGTGGTTTTTTTGAACAGATCGATTATTTTTTTTGAAAAATCTTGACCAATTTATATATATATATATATATGGATTCAGATCTAATTTGTTGTTAGGGTATTATTGTTAGGGTTTTATCTGTTGAACATATCTAAATTTTTTCTGTTAGGGTTTTGACAGATCTATGGTTGTTTTGAACAGATCTATGATTTTTTTGAACATATCTCCTCTCTACTCGTCATCTTCTTTGTTGATTGTTGTTGTTTTGTACGGGGATTATTCGGGGTCAGGGAAACTCGATCCCCGTTAGGGAGCGGGGATGGGAGGGTGGATGGGTTCCTCGCCGGGGATCGGGGCCGGGGAATTTTGTAGCTTCGGGGATCAGGGACGGGGAGTGTAGTCCCCGGTCCCGCCCCGTTGCCATTCCTAGCTGATTACCGAGAGGTTATGATGTGCCAGCCTAATGATGACCATATTGTTGGGTGGCTTAAGAAGAAGCAACTATAAATCTGCATTGTAGCTCCATTTGTGAACCTTTTTGGTGCATGACAGATTTGATGGCTGTTGGGATAGGCCACGGGATTGAGCGGCTTGGGAACTGATGGGAACTTGTCCGTGTTATGTGTTGATGTTTTCATGGGAACTTGTTACAATGTTGGATTTTTAGGACGTCATTAAGTTTTTATTTCTTTTTTTATTATTATTTTGGGTTTGACGGGTTTGTAGTACTTGGATGGATGGTTTGGTGGAACAATATGACCAGTTTGTGTTTTGTTTATTATTTTGTTTTTGTTTTTAATTTCTTTGTGTGGATGGAATGGATGATGTATGCATGTTTGGTTTGGCAGCTTGCTTTTTTTTTTTATCTTGGTTATGTATGGTCTATTGTTGATGTATATATGTCATGTTTGTTAAATGGTTGAACAAGTTCAAAGTGACAGTAATGATTTTAATGTTGGACATATGTCTTGTAGGCCTTGCTGAAGTCGTGGCCATGTCTAACGGGGAAAGTAACAGCAATGATGACTTCATTGAGCAAATAAACCAATTGGCTATTCAGATTCAAGAACAAAATAATTAGACGTACGTGTAAGCATGTCGGTATGTACAAGAGTATTACAAAAAATGCATGTTAAAAACACTATGTCGAACATCAATATTGACTGGACGTGCATGGATATATGAATTATACGATGGACACAATGGTCGTTTTGAAGAAAATGTATGTATGCCAAAAGAAGTATTTTCTTTGTTGTGTAACACGTTAGTTAGAGATTTTGGTTTATGTGTTAACCAACGTAGCCATGGATTAGTCGTGGAAGAAAGCGTTGCAATGTTCATACATGTGTTGAGAGGGTTTAAGAATAGAGCCATCCAAGAAAGGTTTCAACATTCGGGTGAAACCGTATCACGCCACGTGCATAATGTTTTTGGAGGCGATGAAGAAGTTCACGGTTGTGCATTGTAGGCCAACAACAAATCAAAATGTTCAACATCCTCATTTGCGATAAAAAATGAAATACCTACCTTTCAAGGTACAACTTTAATATTTGCAAAACATATTGTTTCTTTACGTCATAGTTCTGGCATATATTGAAATTTGTTTTGCTGTTTAATTTGGAAATTAGGATTGCATCGGTGCAATCGATGGCATGCATGTTGTTGCGAAAGTGACGGGGCCTGATGCAACGACCTATTTTAATACTGTCACACCCAAAACATCATGGCAGTGGTTGATTTTGACATGTGTTTTACCTTTGTATCAGTTGGATGGGAAGGCAGTATGTGTGACAGTAGAGTTTTTGTTGAAATAATCAACAATGAAAATGTGCCATTTCCATATTCGGAGGAAGGTACAGACACTTTTTTAAAAAAAATTACTATGTGGAAATATGCACACAAAGCTTATAACGTTATTTGTTTACATCCGGCAGGGAAATATTATGTTGTTGATTCGGGCTATTCTAATCGAACAGGATACCTCGCCCAGTACAAGGGCCACCGTTACCATCAACAAGATTTTCAGCGAGGTGCAAGGAACGCAGTGAACCCTAGAGAATTATTTAACAAGGCACACTGGCGTTGCGCAGTGTCGTTGAACGAACCTTTGGGGCGTGGAAAAATTGATGGGGTTTTATCGAAATAATGCCTCGTTATGATTTTGCGAATGCGCTGTTGCATTTAGTTGGTGCATCGATGGCATTGCATAACTACATACGAAGTAATCCAGCCACTGTTCAACCCATAGTGACAGAGGCCGACGTGGCAACCATAATCAATGCCATTCCTCTGTTAGCACCTGGAGGGGAGGGGGGATGGACTAATAGTTAGGGATGATGACCTATATGTGGAAAGCATGCGATTTCTTGTAAGACATTGTTTGGTCCACATGCGCAATCACGGCATGTTGGGAAATATATAGGGGGAATTCGGTAACCCAAGTTCATTTTTCTTCTTGTTTGTATGTAGTATTGTAGCACCATGTTTAGTATTTATGGTATTGTGCGTATGTACGTTATGTAATTAGGCATGCACGTTCCCATTATGGTATGCTAAAGTAATTGGTTATTGTTGGAGAGATAATTACCAACAAATGGTTTTTATTATGTATACATTGAGGGAAATATTGTTCAGACAAACCTTTATTCTAGAGTTGAAAATTTTATTTTATTAATGTATTTGGCAAATTTTTGTATTTTTTTTGTTTTATTTTTTATTTTTTGCAACAGTGGCTTGGTGGAACTGGCATACTAGAAATGTTTCACAAATTTGGCAAAACTTTTTTGGTAATTTCGTACAATTTTGGTTCACAGAGTGTTTGATTTGTTTGACTAGTTGCCCTACTCAAAATCAGCACCCTACCAAAACCAATTTCCATGAAGCTACAAAAAATGTGAAAAAAAGGGGAAATGGAAAAAAAAAAAAAATTATTTGGGTAATTCCTAATGCAAAATCTATATATATTTGGAGGTATTGTTGGATTTGGCCCATTTGAGGGCAATTCTGTCATTTCACTTTTGCCAATATAATTTCCAATGCAAAAAAGCTAAAAAAGCCAAGCTGTCATTTCACTTTTGCCAATATAATTTCCAATGCAAAAAAGCTAAAAAAGCCAAGCTAAAAAAGCAAACAAACAAAAAAGTCATAGGCTAAAAAAGTCAAAAAAATCAAAAACCCAAAAAGCTAACTAAAAAAGTCATTACCAAACGAACTTTAAAACTTGTTAACATTAACAATGATTAACACACAAATAAATATTAAAAAAAAAGTAACAAAATTGAGTAAAAAGAGGCTTACGTTCTATCTCTCAAGTCTCTTTTGTGCTATCTTAAATGCAGTTGTCACACAAAACTACATATTATTATTTTTTAATATGGATCAAGAACTTGAAATAAGTGTCTAAAAAAATTGTAGGGTAAATTACACTATGCACCCCTGTATTTTGCACTAAATCTCGCTTTAGCTCTTACTCATAAAATCATGACAGTCAACTTCTATATTTCTAGTCAAATCCTACTTTGGTCTCTCAACATGAAATTGGAATGATTAACCCCTTGTATTTTTAGTCAAATCTCACTTTGGTCTATACACAAGTGTCAGTGTCCCATTTTTGTTACTCAATTGTTTAAATCTATAACAGAATCTAGTTATGTGATAAGAATGTGACTACGACATAAGGGTAAGAAAGAAAAATTATTTATATTTTCTATCAATACACATTATCCTAAAATTTATATCAAAATATGACTGTATTAGGCTAAAACAAAATACAGATTGTGAACAATTAAGAAGATAAACTAGGCTGTGTTTGGATAGATTTTCAAACTATAATTTCACCCCCACATTCTAATGCCATGTTTGGATACATCTTTCAAATTATATTTCCACAACAAAAAGAAAACTTCGCAGAAAAATCTGTGTCAAGCGGGATTTTTTTTTTTTTGAAATTTGGCTTAATCGGTCATCCGGCCGATCAACTAGAACATGGCAAATTTTATTTTATTTTATTATTTTTATTATTTTTTTGCAATTGGCACTTGTTTGTTTATTTATATTTTTAATAAAACAATATTTTCAGATTAAATTTTTTTTTATGAGTTTTTAATAGATTTTTGAGTTGTGTGTTTGGTTATGAGTTGCAAGTTTTTGTATTAAATATCATATGTCACATCAAAAATTTCCCACTCAATTCAAAACTCTTTTCAAAACTCATTTACCAAACAAATTTTTTAGACTCAAATCATAATTCCAAAACTTATAAACTCAAAATATAACTCTATTCTCAAATCATATTTAGAAAACTTTACCAAACGCTACCTAAGATTTTGCATAAATTGAAATCATGAAATTCTGTTTTTACAGTAACAAAATCTTGTGTCTATTCATCTTTCTTTCTCTTTGATTTCTTTGTCGTATTTTTTATTATTATTATTTCAAAAGCTTTATTTTCTTACATTTTCATCTCAATTTTTACTATACGAATTTATATATATAATGTATTATATAACTCTCATGTACTTATCACATAGGATAAAGTGTATTGGTGGAAAACATAGATGATTTTCCTCTTTTACCCTCATTTTGAAGTCACGTTTTTGTTACATAACTGGATTTTGTTAAAGATTTAAAAATAAAGTAATAGAAGAGAGACATTGACACTTGTGTAGGGACCAAAGTGAGATTTGAGTAAAAGTGCAGGAGGTTGACTGTCACGATTTCATGTGTAGGGACTAAAGTGAGATTTAACTAGAGATGTAAGGGGTTAACTGTCATGATTTCATGCGTAGTAGTCAAAGTAAGATCTGATGTAAAATGCAATAGTGCAAAGTGTAATTTATCCAAAATTATACTATCAAAAGCTATTCAAAATTCAAAATCGAAACACAGCCTCATGGCTTCAAAGAATCTATTTTTTATATAGCAAACAAGGCACGAATACTCTCATTCATAGTCAAAACAAACGTGATATTGGCAAAAATCATTTTGCAATCCTTCCAAACACACAATTCGTATAATATAATTAAAAATGATGTTTATGAAGTTATTTCATCTTTTCAAGAAATACATATATAAGAGGGCCTCAGTAGGTGTGCCGACCACAGTTCCACCTCGTATGCTACGAACTCGCTTTTCCTATCTCATCTGTGGTAGCTTCCTTGGAAAATATAGCAAAAATAAAAATAAAACAACAAATAGTGCTAAAGTATATTATTTTTTTTTTGGTTTTTGCTATAAAGATGGTCAAATCTCACTTTGGTCCATACACAAGTGTCAGTATCCCCGTTTTTGTTACTCAATTGTTTGAATTATTAACAAAATCTAGTTATATGATAAGAATATGACTACGGCATGAGGGTAGGAAAGGAAAATCATTTATATTTTCTATCAATACACACATTATCCTAAAATTTACATCAAAATATGACTGCATTAGGCTTAAAAAAAACGCAGATTGTGAACAATTAAGAAAATGAACTAAGGGTTTGCATAAATTGAAATCATGAAATTCTATTTTTTACAGCAACACAATCTTGTATCTATTCATCTTTTTTTCTCTTTGATTTCTTTGTCGCGTTTTTTATATTTATTTCAAAAATTCTATTTTCTTACCTTTTCATCTCAATTTTTACCATACAAAAATATATATATATATATATATTGTATCATATAACTCTCATGTATTTATCATTTATGACAAAGTGTATTGGTAGAAAACATAGATGATTTTCCTCTTATGCCCTCATTTTGAAGTCACGATTTTGTCACATGACTGAATTTTGTTAAAGATTTAAAAGTGAAATAACAGAAGAGGGACATTGACACTTGTGTAGGGACCAAAGTGAGATTTCAGTAGAAGTGCAGGAGGTTGACTGTTATGATTTTATGTGTAGGAATCAAAGTGAGATTTGACTAGAGGTGTAAGGGGTTAACTGTCATGATTTTATGTATAGGAAAAGTAAGATTTGATGTAACATGCAATAATAAAAAGTGTAATTTATCCAAAATTATACTATCAAAGTCTATTCAAAATTCAAAATCGAAACGCAACCTCATGGCTTCGAAGAATCTATTTTCTATATAGCAAACAAGTCACGAGTACTTTCATTCATAGTCAAAACAAACGTGAGATTGGCGAAAATCATTTTGCAATCCTTTCAAACACACAATTCATATAATATAAATTACACATTAAAATAAATGATGTTTATAAAGTTATTTAATCTTTTCAAGAAATACATATATAAGAGGGCCTTAGTAAGTGTGCCAACCACAGTTCTTTCTCGTATGCTATGAACTCGCTCTTCCTATCTCATCCGTAGCAGTTTCCTTGGAAAATATAGCAAAAATAAAAATAAAGCAACAACGAATAGTGCTAAAGTATATTTTTTTTTGGTTTTTGCAATAAAGATGGCACCTTTATAGCATCTTTAATGGTATTTGTTATAATAGCATTGCTATTGTTATAATTTGGCAATAAATAGTGGTAATTTGTCAAATTGTAGCAATGGTGCTCCAATGGTTTACATGCTATTTAGGCAAATCTCTACCAACTTTTCCTTTAAGTTTGTAGGTGTTGTTTGGATATAGGTCTTTTAGTGATTTTTTTATTTTTTTTTTATTTTTTGACCTTTTTTGACTGTATCTAATATATATATATATATATATTTACATTATTCCTGACCAGATATAAAAAAAGAAAAAAAAATTAAATATAATTCACCCCACCAAAAAACATACCACTACAAAAAAAAAAAAAACTACATTAAAAAAATAAACAATCACCAACTACCCACCTGATATTGTTTTGCAATACTTGCCAACAATGTTTAAAAGCAAAATGTTTTTTTTCATCTTGATACTATAAAAGTTTTGCTTGAAGCATCTGTATAGATAAAATATTAAATTAATTAATTAGTTAATTTTTATACGATACAAAATAAAAAACTAACATAATAAATGAAGATGAAATCTTACTATATCAACTTGAGACTTTCCACTTGGGTGTAGATTTTCGACTTGCGCTAAACACCCACGAAATTTGTTAGAAAATTTCATGATTATATCCCATCGAGATTGGATATACACTTGTGTTCTCGACTGATCATTCTAAAACAAGCAATAATTTTCGTAAATTCTCCCTCAAAAGTGAGCATACAATTGCGAATTGCCAACAAATGGGTCTTCAGAAATGTGACACCAAGATTTTCAAATTACCATATTTTCATCAATGGTGAATGATTTTCCTCTCTTTGTTTTTGATGAATCTTCTATAGTGATTGTGTGAAAAAACTAAAAAGAAAATAATTTCGGAGGTTTGCTGTGAAATGAAATTGAGATTGGGGGTTTCTATTTATAGAAATACAAAATATGACGGTTTGTAGAAAAATAAAAGATGACTGTTAATTTATAGTTGTTGTTTGTACTTTTTTTTTTAGGCAAAAAGAGCACAATGACTCTTTTGCATTTCCAAGACAAGATCACCATTGTCCACGTACTCAAGGTTCCAACGGTTGAGATCAATTATCTAGAATCATCCAACCCATTCCAAGACAGACGTGTCACGCTGTCCTCATTCTCCCTCTCACTCTTACTCTCCTCTTCTCTTTTCCTCCTCCATCATCAAAACGTCTGTCTTGGG